AAAATGCACTTTGGATAATTATAAAGGCATTTCATTTTCAAAATTGAGCTAGCAGCTATTAAAGTGTGCGCACATTTTTTGAGACACCCTGTAGATTAACAAGAGTTCATTTTCAGCCAAGCTCAGATGTAAGCATGGACAGACTGAAATATAACTGCACCCTTTTATCCCATCATAAACTTTAATGTGTTGTGCATTTCTGTGTAGATAATACACAAAATCCACATGGCTCAAAATAGCAGGCACAGAATGTCTTTTCTCCCTTCCCTGTCCTGGAGCCATGAGATCCTACCACTGGTGACCGATGTTATTATCAGGCTCTTGGGCTTCCTTTCAGGTAGAATTTATAAACACACAAGCAAATGTACATATTATATTCTTTTCCCCCACAAATAGTAGCATACTGGCATATTGGACACACTTTTTTTTATACTTTTGGTTTTATTGTGGAGGTCATTCCATATTAGTACATAAAGAGCTTTGTTTTATAGCTACACGGTATTCCATTGTGCACATGCACCATAATTGATGGAGCCAGTCCCCCATGATGGAAAGTTTAAGTCATTTCAAGACTTTTGCTATTGCTAGCAGTGCACAATAATTAAGAACTTAGGTCATTTGGCACATGCGTGAGTTTATCTGCAGGATAAATTCCTAGAAATGGAAATGTTGGAACAAGGACATGTGAATTGAGAATTTTGATCTTGCCAAATTGTCCTCCGTCAAAGGGGTGTTGGAGTGTGAGAGTGCTGTTTCTATACTGGCACTAAACGGGTTATTACCCAATCCCCCACCTTTTTTTTTTTTTAAATCTTTGCCAATCTAATTGAGCATCTTTTCATAGTCATTTATATTTCCTTTTCTGTGAACTATTGTTTCTGTTCTTTATCTAGTTTTCTGTTGGGTTGTTGGTATTTTTCTTAAGGATATGTAGGGACTCTGGTAGATAGAAAATTTAGCCTTTTGAATTATAAATACTTTTCCCAGTTTCTTGTTAGTGTTTAACTTTTTTATGGTGGTTTTGTCACATAAAATTTTTATTTTTATCTAGTAGTTGTAAGCAATTTCTCACTTTCTGGCTTCTGGGCTATATATAATAGTTCAGAAAAAGCTTCATCCAAGTTTACAGAGGAATTTTCTTACAGTTTCTTTTAGTCTCTTGTTTTTAATTTTTTTTACATTTAAATATTTACATTTTCTTCCTAGTATACCAGTAAAATATGAGACAAAGATCCAACCTTATTTCTTTATATGTCTCCCTGGTTATCTTAAAATAATTTAGTGAATAATTCATCTTTTTCCTCTCTTCTGTGAGATGACATCTTTATCATATATCAAATCCCTGTACTTGGACTGATTTCCACGCTATTTATTATATTTTATTGAGTTGTCTGTTATGTGTCAGTACCACACTGTTTTAATTAATTTAATGTGTATATATATATCTGTGTATTATACTATCAGGTAGAAAGAGTATTCCATTATTGATCTTCTCTTTTAAACATTGTCTGGCTCTTCTTGCTTGTTCTGTATTCTATATGAATTTAGCATCAGTTTGTCTATCTTTTCCACCAAAAAAATCCTACAAGTACTTGTATGGATTGAGTTAAGTTTACAAACTAACGTGAAAGAATTTACAACCTTATGATATGAATTGACTTTTTTTTATTTGTTCATATCTTTTATTGTGATTCTCAGGGACATTCTGAACTTTATGTCAAATAGCTTTTGGATATTTATTGTTAAGTTTATTATTACATATTTAGATATTAGATGTTTAGTTTTTGTTGCTATTGTAAATAAGATATTTCCATTTTATTTTTCTACTCTTGGTTGTGTATATGAAAGTTGTTGATTTCTGTATAGTTTTGTACCTATTTCCGTCTTTAGTTGTATTTTTGAAGTGGTTGTTCGAGGCAGCAAACTCCCGCGTTTACCCATGCCGCCATCTTGGTTTCTCCTGTTTGATTGCTTTAAACAAACTGATTCTACTATTCCTGTTGTTGAGCAACTTTGTTTTTCTTTATTTTTTTGATGTTTTATGTTCTTATTTAACTCTTATTTGGGAACTTAGGTTTTCAAGCAAAAAATTATTTCTCTGTGAGATGCCTTAGTCAAAAAGCTATATATAGAGTGTCCCCCCCCAAAAAAATGCACTTTGAATAATTATAAAGGCATTTCATTTTCAAAATTGAGCTAGCAGCTATTAAAGTGTGCGCACATTTTTTGAGACACCCTGTAGATTAACAAGAGTTCATTTTCAGCCAAGCTCAGATGTAAGCATGGACAGACTGAAATATAACTGCACCCTTTTATCCCATCATAAACTTTAATGTGTTGTGCATTTCTGTGTAGATAATACACAAAATCCACATGGCTCAAAATAGCAGGCACAGAATGTCCTTTCTCCCTTCCCTGTCCTGGAGCCATGAGATCCTACCACTGGTGACCGATGTTATTATCAGGCTCTTGGGCTTCCTTTCAGGTAGAATTTATAAACACACAAGCAAATGTACATATTATATTCTTTTCCCCCACAAATAGTAGCATACTGGCATATTGGACACACTTTTTTTTATACTTTTGGTTTTATTGTGGAGGTCATTCCATATTAGTACATAAAGAGCTTTGTTTTATAGCTACACGGTATTCCATTGTGCACATGCACCATAATTGATGGAGCCAGTCCCCCATGATGGAAAGTTTAAGTCATTTCAAGACTTTTGCTATTGCTAGCAGTGCACAATAATTAAGAACTTAGGTCATTTGGCACATGCGTGAGTTTATCTGCAGGATAAATTCCTAGAAATGGAAATGTTGGAACAAGGACATGTGAATTGAGAATTTTGATCTTGCCAAATTGTCCTCCGTCAAAGGGGTGTTGGAGTGTGAGAGTGCTGTTTCTATACTGGCACTAAACGGGTTATTACCCAATCCCCCACCTTTTTTTTTTTTTAAATCTTTGCCAATCTAATTGAGCATCTTTTCATAGTCATTTATATTTCCTTTTCTGTGAACTATTGTTTCTGTTCTTTATCTAGTTTTCTGTTGGGTTGTTGGTATTTTTCTTAAGGATATGTAGGGACTCTGGTAGATAGAAAATTTAGCCTTTTGAATTATAAATACTTTTCCCAGTTTCTTGTTAGTGTTTAACTTTTTTATGGTGGTTTTGTCACATAAAATTTTTATTTTTATCTAGTAGTTGTAAGCAATTTCTCACTTTCTGGCTTCTGGGCTATATATAATAGTTCAGAAAAAGCTTCATCCAAGTTTACAGAGGAATTTTCTTACAGTTTCTTTTAGTCTCTTGTTTTTAATTTTTTTTACATTTAAATATTTACATTTTCTTCCTAGTATACCAGTAAAATATGAGACAAAGATCCAACCTTATTTCTTTATATGTCTCCCTGGTTATCTTAAAATAATTTAGTGAATAATTCATCTTTTTCCTCTCTTCTGTGAGATGACATCTTTATCATATATCAAATCCCTGTACTTGGACTGATTTCCACGCTATTTATTATATTTTATTGAGTTGTCTGTTATGTGTCAGTACCACACTGTTTTAATTAATTTAATGTGTATATATATATCTGTGTATTATACTATCAGGTAGAAAGAGTATTCCATTATTGATCTTCTCTTTTAAACATTGTCTGGCTCTTCTTGCTTGTTCTGTATTCTATATGAATTTAGCATCAGTTTGTCTATCTTTTCCACCAAAAAAATCCTACAAGTACTTGTATGGATTGAGTTAAGTTTACAAACTAACGTGAAAGAATTTACAACCTTATGATATGAATTGACTTTTTTTTATTTGTTCATATCTTTTATTGTGATTCTCAGGGACATTCTGAACTTTATGTCAAATAGCTTTTGGATATTTATTGTTAAGTTTATTATTACATATTTAGATATTAGATGTTTAGTTTTTGTTGCTATTGTAAATAAGATATTTCCATTTTATTTTTCTACTCTTGGTTGTGTATATGAAAGTTGTTGATTTCTGTATAGTTTTGTACCTATCCATTTTACTGAATTAGCTTTGCTTGTAGAAATCTTACAGTGAGTTCTGGGTCCTCCCCCAAAATATACAATCATAGCATGTGCAAATAATGATAATTTTACTGCTTGTTTTAGAAGTTCTGTACCTCTAATTTATTGTTTCCTTAGTTTCTTTGGTTCCCAGAATCTCCAGAAACAATATTAAATAAAAATTGTGATAATGGCCCAGCCAGTGTTGCTCAGTGGTTGAGCGTCGTCCCATGAACCAGGAGGTCACAGTTCAATTCCCAGTCAGGACACATGCCCGGGTTGTGGGCTCGATCCCCAGTAGGGGGCTCATAGGAGGCAGCCAATTGATGATTCTCTCTCACCATTGATGTTTCTATCTCCCTCTCCCTTTCTCTGAAATGAATAAAAACATTTTTTTTAAAAAAATAGTGGTAATGGTTTCCTTATTACATTCCTAACTTTAATGAGAAGGCATCTCATTAATGAAAATAATGTTTACCCATTTAAGCATTATGCTGGCTCCTGGATTGACCCAGATATATTTAATCAATTCAAGGAAATAACCAACGAATCATATTTTATTAAAAGTACAGTTGACCCTTGAATAATGTTTGAACTGCATAGGTTCACTTATATGCAGTTTTTTTGTTAATTGACCCAAGCAGTTCAAACCTGTGTTGTTCAAGAGTCAACTGGTGAATGGGAATTCAAAAATTTGGAGGACCTACTTAAGTTATGTGCCAAATTTCCACAGCATAGGTAGGTGGTGGGTGCCTCTAACAGGGTCAACTCTAGTTTTCATCTCAAATGGATGTTGAATTTTAGCAAATATTATTTTAGTACCTTTTGAAATGATTGTGTAAATTTGTTCTTTTTAGTTGAATTACTATGATTTATATAATACATTAAATTGCTGAAATAAATATCACTTAGTCATGATGTTTTATTATTTTAATATATTTTTTGTTCAGTTTCCTAATATTTTAAGATTTCGCATCAAATTCATAGGTAAGATTAACCTTTAGTTCATAACTCTATAACAGTGGTTCTCAACCTTCCTAATGCTGTTCCTCATGTTGTGGTGACCCCCAACCATAAAATTATTTTCGTTGCTACTTCATAACTGTAATTTTGCTACTGTTATGAATCATAATGTAAATATCTGATATGCAGGATGTATTTTCATTGTTACAAATTGAACATAATTAAAGCATAGTGATTAATCACAAAAACAATATGTAATTATATATGTGTTTTCCGATGGTCTTAGGTGACCCCTGTGAAAGGATCGTTCGACCCCCAAAGGGGTCGCGACCCACAGGTTGAGAACTGCTGCTCTATAATTTCTGTATATGCTGATTATAATAAGTTGGGGTAAATGTGTTTTCCTGATTTAGTTATGGACAGCCACATTTGTTTGTATTCACCAGGAAATCGTGTCATTTTTTTGGCTTGGAACAGAATGGGAATATAGAGAATGGAATTAACCTAAGGTTGACCAGCTCTAGAAATGGTGCCTGGGTCCATCTCATAAGAAATCTTTGTGTTTCTCTCAGATGATTTTAGGTCAGTAACATAGTAATAATAAGATTTTATCTACCTTATTAGATTAAACTCATTAGTTTCCTTCTTTTTCTCCACCCTTGACCAACACACACACAGACTTGGCTCTCTCCACATTTAACTTGTATACTTCCATGCAATGGAGAGAAAAAATAGTACTCAAATAGAAAGTGAGAAACTATCAAAAGTCATTCAAATTGAAGTACCTTGAATTATGATCCCTTGACTAAGAGCCAGCTGAAATTTAATTTTTTGTATTTTTACAACACAACCTTCTATTCATATCCTATATAATAGAAGGCTAATATGCAAATCGACCGAACGGCGGAATGGCTAGTTGCTATGACGTGCACTGACCACCAGGAGGCAGACGCTCGATTCAGAAGTACCCCCTGGTGGTCAGTGTGCTCCCATAGGGGGAGCGCTGCTCAGCCAGAAGCTGGGCTCACGGCTGGTGAGCGCAGCCGCGGTTGTGGGAGCCTCTCCCGCCTCCACAGCAGCGCTAAGGATATCCAACTGATGGCTTAGGCCCGCCCCCCATGGGACATCCCCCGAGGGTTCCCGGACTGCAAGATGGTGCAGGCTGGGCTGAGGGAGCCCACCGAATGCACAAATTTCGTGTACCGGGCCTCTAGTTATACATAAACTCAGAGTATTTAAGTGATTTAAGGATATAAACTGATTTCAAGTACTTACCAGTGCCTATTTTATACAAACAATTTTAATGCTAATTATTAATCTTGTGTATAATTAAAAGAAGGCATGCTGAGAACCTCCCTTTTTTATTTTTGCATAAACTTTTTTACTGCAGTATAACATACATACAATAAAGTACACAAATATTACGTACACAAATGATGAATTTTTACAAAGTGTACATTTGTGTAATCACCTCAGAGATCAAGATACAGAATATTGCCAGCACTCAGAAGCCTTACTCATGCTTCTTCCCAAATACAGATGCCACCAAACAAAAGCACTTACCATCTGACTTATATGATCACAGATCACTTCCGTAGTTTTTTGACTTGATAAAAATCGAATCAGTCAGTGTTGGGGTAGGCAAAATTCTTCCCACCCTGGTGGACTTGCCCAGTATAACCTTGTCCTCTTGAGTATGATGGGAATGTAAATCTGATAGATTTCACTCCCATGATTAGGTTATGGGATTTTGCAAATGTAATAGGAGTTCCAAACCAATTGAATTTGAGCTAATCAAAAGGGAGATTACTGTGGGTAGGCCTAACCTAATCTGGCGAGCTGTTAACAAGGATGGAACCATTCCTGAAGTCAGATGTTCAAAGCGTGAGAAAGACATGATCCTGCTGGCTTCACAGAAGTAAACTGTCATGTTGTGAACGGGAGGCCTCCAGGAGCTCAGCCCGACCTCCAGCTGACAGCCAGCAAGAAAGCAGGGTCTGTGTGCTGCACCAGGAGGAGCTGAATTCTGTAACAGCCGGAAGGAGCTGGAAGAGAACCCTGAGCTGCAGAGAAGCCAGCCCAGCAGACACCTGATTGCAGCGCTGTGAGAGGCTGACAGATGACCCCGTTGAGCTGTGCCTGCGCTTGTGACCTGCACAACTGTGCAATAATAAATGGGTGCTATTGTAAGCTGCTAATAGTGTGTTTATTGCTTCTGCAACACTAGAAAACTAAGACAAGTATCCACTCTTTTGTACATGACTTCTTTCATTAAACATTATGTGTATGCGTCGTGTGTGTGCGTGTGCGTGTGTGTGTGTGTGTGTGTGTGTGTGTGTGATTTATCCATATAATTATATAAAGCAGTGGTTCATTCTTTTCCATTGCTACGTTTTTATTTTCTTGTATGAATATGCCACAATTTATTTGTGCATTCTGTTGGTGGGTACTTAATTAGGCTCTTTTCACTTCTTTTTATTTTGAGTAATACAGCTTTGAGCCCTCATACATATCCTTTCTGTGAGCTATTGTCAAAGATAAACAAAGCCAGATACTAGTTAAAGTAGTAGAGGCAGATGTTAATTAGTAATATACTATTGCAATGGGAAGAGAGTCTAGCACAGCCGTGGGCAAACTACGGCCCGCGGGCCGGATCCGGCCCGTTTGAAATGAATAAAACTAAAAAAAAAAAGACCGTACCCTTTTATGTAATGATGTTTACTTTGAATTTATATTAGTTCACACAAACACTCCATCCATGCTTTTGTTCCGGCCTTCCGGTCCAGTTTAAGAACCCATTGTGGCCCTCGAGTCAAAAAGTTTGCCCACCCCTGGGCATGAACTGAACTCAGCTTTGGTTTTTTTTAAAGTAGGATTTTATTTCATTATTATTTTTTAAATATATGTTTTTATTGATTTCCAAGAGAGAAAAAGAGAGGAAGAGAGAGAATGAAGCATCAATGAGAGAGAAACATGGATTGGCTGCCTCCTGCATGCCCCCCACCAGGGATCGAGCTGCAACCCCCAAGCATGTGCCCTGACCAGAAAACGAACTGGTGATCTCATGGTTCATGGGTCGATGCTCAGCCACTGAGCCACACCGGCTGGGCTCAGCTTTGATTTTTACAGAGAAGGCATGGTTTTTTATAGGGAGAATGAGGGAATAGGGAGAGGGGCCAAGCAGGGACTCAGCAGAGTCAGGGAAGTTAAAAAAGTTATAAAGGGTGGGTCAGTATAAATGCTGACTGTGCCGGCTGTGTCTGTTAGCTGCTTATTACTGAAGTTGGGATTCTGTCCTCCCACAGAGACTGGGAGACAGAGGCCCTATGCTTCCTGATGATTGCATTTTAAAGGAATGGCTTTCAGGTTCTTGAGAAAGACACTCCTGAGTGGTAGGAGACATATATTATCTCAAAGGGACAGAGAGAGGATTTTCAAGCATAAGCCCTTTTTAGTAAACGCTAAGAAAGGGTGGGTCGCCAGGGGCCTGTCCAAAGGTGTTGGCTAGAACAGTAAATTCTTTTGTCAGCCTTGAGTTTTCTCAAGTACTTTCAGCAGGGCTGGGCTCATCCTAGGGATGCAGCCTTGAGCTGTCAGAAACTATGTTAGTGTTTAAGTCTTTTAATGTAGGAGGGAGTGAGTGGGCTAAATAATTTATATTGAGGGTCTGTAGTTTTTATAAGCCAAGGTGAAGGTTGAGTCAAGAAAGGCGCTCAGAGGAGCTTGGCTAAAGTTTGTTCAAAGACAGAAGCTTTGTTAGTACAGGGATGGGCAAAAGTAGGGTTACTGTTGTTCTCATGGAAAATAATAATACAAGAATCAACTCTGTGTTTTGCATACTCACAACTGTAAACCTACTTTTGCCTGCCCTGTGTCTACCTGGGAGAGGAATTAGTAGGTCATGGAGTAAGCATGTGTGGTTTGCTGTAGAAGACACTGTCAGATCGTTTTCCAATGACTGTACCTATGTATATCCCCTCCAGCAGGAAACCAGAACTCTGTGTATTTTGTGTGCTCTCATTTGCTTGTTTTTATCCTCACCTGAGAATATGTTTATTGATTTGAGAGAGAGAGGAAAAAAACTTTGATGTGAGAAATATCAAATGGTTGCCTCTCATTCGCGTCCTGACCAGGAATCAAACCCGTAACCTAGGTATGTGCCCAACCAGGAATCAAACCCACAATCTTTTTTGGTGTATGGGACAATGCTCCAACCAACAGAGCCACCCACCCAGGGCTAATGAATTTAAATTTAAAAACTGAAGCAGTATAAAATGTTTTCTATTAAATGTATTAAACGCAACTTTTCCTTTTGATAGAATTATGTTTCACTTTAACCTAGCTTACTATGAGCTTTTATTATGAACTAGAGGCCCAGCACATGAAATTCATGTGCAGATACGATCCCTAGGCCTGGCCTGTGATCAGGGCCATATTCCTTGGCTGCCCACAGCCAGCCCTGCCCCCTGCCGCCACCCACCCCTGGTTCCCTTTTCACCATCGGATGATCGGTGCCTGACAGGGGGGAAGGAACTGAGAGGTCAGCTGGGAGCGGGTGTGTTTTGCAGGCCAGCCACGCCCCCAGTTGGGGTGGGGGTCCCAGCTGGGGGAGGGGCCAGCCTGGGCAAAGGGCCCCAGGCAGTTTTCAGGCCAGCCATGACCCCACTGGGGTAGGGGTCCCCACTGGGGGGTGAGGCCAGCCCCTCGCGGTGTTCTGGTCTCTTGTCATTCCTGTCGTGATGCTGGCTTTTTATATATATAGTAATGATAAATTTAATCAAATGCTTTTTCTACCTCTATTGAGATAATCATATTATTTCACTTTAATCAATAATGTGTTGAATTATATTGATTACATTTTTATATAGATTTGGAAATGTTAAATCATTACTGAGTTGTTGGGGTAAACCCAACTTGGTCATCATTTATAATCCTTTATGTATCACTGTGTCAGATTGGCTAATTGTTTTTTGTAGTTTTACACATATGCTCATGAGAGATATTGGTCTGAATTTTTTCCTTCTTGTAATATCTTGTCAAGTTCTTTAATAAAACTTAGGCTAGCTTCATAACACAAGTTGTGAAGTGTTCTGTTTTCCTCTATTCTCTCAAAGAGTTTTTCTTTTTTAACATTGGTATTATTTCTTCTTTAAACATTTGGACATAAACGAAGTCATCTAGCCTAGAATTTTTTGGAGGGTGGTTTCTAACTATGGATTCAGTTTCTCTAATAGGTATAATTACTCAGATTGTCTTTCTTCTTATGTCAGTTTTGGTAAATCATGTTTTTCAATAAATTTGTCCATTTTATCTAAATTTTGAAATTTATTGTCATAAAATAGTTACTGTAGGATTTTTTTATTTCAAATATTGGTCACTTGTGTTTTCTTTCTCTTTTTTCTTAGCCATTCTTCTTAGGTGGTTATCAATTTTATTTGTCTTTTTAAAGAAACAAAATTTTTCCATTTTATTTCTGCTTTGTTTATATTGTCTTTCATAGTCTCTTCTTGATTTTTTCCCTTTTAGTTTCTTTAAGCTCAATTGGTAGTTCTTTTTCTAGCTTCTTGAAATAGAACTTAGAGCATTAATTCTCAAGTGATTAATTCTAATCACTGTGTTAGCTGCATCTAGTTCTTTTGTTATGCCATTTTTAATCATCAGTTTAAATTTACTTTTCATTCTTCTTTAATCTATAGGTTGTTAGAAAAGCATTGCTTCACCTGAGCTTTCCCGTCTGGCGATCTCATTTTGAAAATTTCTGGTGTTATTTTCTATTACTGATTCCTAGCTTAATCTCACTGCTGTCAGAATACATACTATGTATGATTTCAAGCCTTTGAATTTTGTTGATTCTTACTTTATGGCTTGGCATAGCACCAACTTAGTAAATGTTCCATGGGCTCTAGAAAAGAAAAATGTGTATTCTCTAGTTCTTGGGGGGGTGTTGTTCTACAAATGTAGTAGTAGTGTTTGCTCAGTATCCTTACAGGTTGTCAACTATATTTCTGACCAACTGGTTATAAACAGGGGTTCACCACACCCCCCTCCTTTGGTTAAATAATTTGCTGGAATGGCACAGAACTCAGAAACACTAATACTTGCCCTGGCTGGTTTGGCTCAGTGGATAGGGCATCAACCTGCAGACTGAAGGGTCCCATGTTTGATTCTGGTCAAGGGCACATGTCTGGCTTGCGGGCTCGATCCCCAATAGGGGGCTTGCAAGAGGCAGCCAATCGATGATTCTCTCTCATCATTGATGTTTCTATCTCATCTCTCCCTCTCCCTTCCTCTCTGAAATCAATAAAAATATATTTAAAAAAACAACACTTACCCTTACCAGTTTATCATAAAGTATATAGTAAAGGCTACCAATGAACAGCCCGATGAAGAATTACAGAGGGTGCAGTCAGGGAGGGTCCCTGTGGAATGGTGTGCCACGCCCTGTAAGCATGAGGATGGGCGAGGGTGAGGGTGAGGGTGAGGGTTAGGATTAGGCTGCTAGATTTTGTGACTATTACAGTGCACAGAGAGTCTAGGTTTTGTTTCTTCATTTGAAGAATATTAAGTAGGCAGTAAAGAATGTATGGAAAGGCAGTAAAGTACTTGCATATCAATTTATTTCTCCCAAGGCTTGTTTTGAAGCGTCTTCGGGTGAGTCTGTAATAACCTTTACTAATGCCCCTGGCTGGGGGTGGGGGGACATGAACATTTCCCAGTCCTGCAAAAGCTTTCGATATTATTTAGCCTATAACTCCCCAGCGGCTTTTTGCCCAGCCTCATGCAGTTTCTCTCTGTGCATCTACATATTAAGCAGTACACTAAAGGGCCCTCTGTGCTTATCTCTGAAGCTCTTTTTCTGCAGAGCTCCCGCCTCTCCAGGACTCTCCCTCACACATTCCAGCTGCCCAACCCTCTCAAACGTTCATCTCCGTCTTTTCAACCCAATGAATCACCTGTGCTTGGCTAAGGTTCTTCCTACCTGCGCTGTGAGCTGGAAAAAAAGTGCCCCAGGGCAGAGGAAGCATTTGTGATCTAGAGCTTAACTCATTTGCTTCTGTTCTCACCTGTATCACAGTTCTGCACGTCCCACTGTCCAGCACCTGGAAACACTGCTTCAT